TTTATTGCAAATAACTGCTCAAGAATATCTGAGATTTGGGGTTCGACAGAGAACTTCGGTACCATCCCAATATTCATCTCTCCCCAGTTTTTTTTTTACCCATTTCCCGTTTAATGTGTACACTTGGACTCAATGTAGACACAATGTCAGTTGGTCTATTTTACATAAACATTACCTAACAACCAATAATCAGTTGTAGGAATAGTAAGCTAAAACCAAGTATAACTAATATATGATCATCACACACAGGCAGTCTGCTCTGTGCTCTTCACCCTATTAAAGTATTACCAAGTTCAAGAGCAAGTCCAGCCTACCTGGCCTGAATGGAAAAGGAGTCCTTGTTGCAGAGATAATGAAACAGCAATGCAAAAGGAAAGGCAGCCCCTTGATAAAATGATACAGGATATACGGTGAACAGTGGAAGCCAATCCATTATGAGCTGTGACGAAAACAAAAAACAAAAAAACAAAAACACTCTCCCTCTGAGAGCCACCTTGCAGGAGAAATGGCAGCCAGGTTCTCCCTGGCCTTTTAATCTGGTTTAGGAAGCCCTGGCTGAGCAAGAGCTCTAGAGATAAGTAGCATAAGAGTTGGCTTTCTGATCATGGAAACTGCACTAGGGAAACCAATATATTTTGATGTGATACTACTTCAGAACACATACTGAAAACATTGCCTTCCAAAGTTGTGCTCTAGAGTTTACACAGTATAATATTTACCTTTCCAGTGTTCCTGTTGTCATATTTTCTTCACTAAGTGAATGAAAAATCTCACTTTCAGTTGTGGACAGATAAGTCCTGGGCTGGAGAGGGAAATGAACACATGAGCAGGATTAAGGAGTGCAGGAGCTCAAGGCAAAAAAAGCCAAACAAGATTTCCCCTTCTTAAACTCAACTCTCATTCAAGAACTGTTGGCGCACACCTGTAATCCTAGCTACTCAAGAGGCTGAGATCTGAGGATTATGGTTTGAAGCCAGCCCAGGAAAGGAAAGTCCATGAGACTTTTATTTCCACACGATTCTTACTTCCAATAAAATCCCAAAATGCCAAAAGTAGAGCTGTGGCTTAAGTGATAGAGCACTCCCCTTGAGCTCAGGGACAGCACCTAGGCCCTGAGTTCAAGCCCCAAGAAAAAAGAAAGAAAGGAAAATCCCATAACTACCACTTCTTTCTGTAACTTCATTTCTCACATCAGGCACCCTGATATGACTGTGTGCACTTTACAGGCACACTGGGAGCTCTATGAGGGAGGATTTTGTTATGCTGGGGCTGTGTCCTCAGCACAGAGGACAGCCCTCAACATACACTTTGTACTCAATAAAATAACTATGTGTCCAATTTGAAAAGGTTTTGATAAAGCACAAGGGTGGAAAGGACACATTTAAAAGGAAATTCTTTGGAGGATGGACAAATAATATGAAGATGACTACTTAGAGGCAAAATGAGAGGCCATCTCTTGACTAGGAGAGATCCACCTCCTGACCCTGGGCTCAGCTAGTTGTCATCACTGAAGACCCCAGTAAGAGCAAGTAACCTTAAATAAAGGATGAGGAGAGTCAAATAGAAAGAGAACTTTGGGGCAAGGATTGCCTCTTAGTGACTCCCAGAGCTGCACAGATGAGAAGACTCATGATGGACTGGGGACCTTGGAGCCAATTAGTTCACTCTCTGAAACCAAACTCCTTCCTCTCAGACAGAATAATGAATTAGAGGGCTGGGAAGGTGGCTCAATGGTAGAGTGCTTGCCTTGCATGCATGAGGCCCTGGGTTCGGTTTCTCAGTACCACATAAGCAGAAAAAGCTGCGAGTGGTGCTGTGGCTCAAGTGGTAGAGCACTAGCCTTGAGCTGAAGAGCTGAGGGACAACGCACAGGCCCAAAGTTCAAGCCCCACAACCGACCAAAAAAACAATAACAAAAATAAATTAGACAAAATAATGCCTGCTCAGGCAGGCGCTGGTGGCTCACACCTGTAATCCTAGCTACTCAGGAGGCTGAGATCTGAGGATCACGGTTCAAAGCCAGGCTGGGCAGAAAAGTCCATGAGACTCTTATCTCCAATAAACCACTAGAAAACTGGAAGTGGCTCTGTGGCTCAAGCGCTTGCCTTGAGCTGAAGAGCACAGGGATAGAGCCCATGCCCAGAGTTTAAGCCCCATGACCAAAAAATAAAAATAATGCCTGCTCAATAGAATTAGAAAAATTAGATGAACCATGGAAAAGCACAAAATATAAACTCGGCTTACTGAGTGCATTTGAAGGGAAATCAACTGTATAATAAAACATATGAGCATGTATCACCCAAACCAGCCTGTGGTTGTACTGGGAAGCAGTGGAAATTTTACAAGTTGGAGCTTAAACCATGAGCTGGTGGCTCATTCCTATAGTCCTAAACTACTCAAGAGGCTGGGATCTGAGGATCATGGGATTGTGTCTCAAAGCCAGCCAGGGTAGGAACATCCATGAGACTTATCTCTAATTAACTGGCAACAAAAAGCCAGAAATAGAGCACTAGCCTGAAACAAAAAATCTCAGGGACATCCCTCAGGCCCTGAGTTCAAGGGCTCAGTACAGGTGTGTGTGGGTGCGCATGCATGCAAACACACACACACACACACACACACACACACACACACACACACACACACACACACACACACACACACACACACAGAGCTGGGGCCTAGCAGAAGAAAGTTAGTTTCAGGGGCATGTCCTTGAAGGGAACATTGGGACCCCAGTCTCTGTCTCTCTCTTTCTGTGCTTCCTTGCTATCAGGAGATAAACAGCCTCCTTAACCACATGTGACTAACATTCTGTTTGGCTCTCCCGTTGGCTCTGTTTCTCTGGTTGCACACCATATATGTGATGCCTGGGACATGCGGGCAGAAGATGCTGGGGGCAGGGCAGAAAAAGTGGATTGGGGAAAAGGCAGCAAGTGGAAGTAGTTGTGTGTGGAGAGCAGGTTGGCTTTTTGGAGAAAGTTGTGATTGAGCATGGAGGAAGACCAGGAGGAGTGAGATGCTGGGGGTGGGGGACAGGGTAGATAGGCTGGATCTAGTCTACATAGACACTGTCTGTGCAAAGTAGTTCAGGCTTTAAGAGGAAATACAAGGAAATGAACTGGATTTGATTTTTAGAGGATGTTTGGGCTACAAGAACATGATTTGGGGGTTGGATAGATCAGAGGGTGGAGGGGCTGGGAAGGTGGCTCAGTGGTAGAGCGCTTGCCTTGCATGCATGAGGCCCTGGGTTTGATTCCTCAGCACCACATGAGAAAAAAGAAAACAGCCGGAAGTGGTGCTGTGGCTCAAGTGGTAGAGCGCTAGCCTTAAGCTGAAGAGCTGAAGGACAGCGCCCAGGCCGAGTTCAGGCCCCATGACTGGACTGCCCCTCCCCCCCAAAAAAAGCTCCTGTTTTGGAGGTTTTAGGTTAGATAGGTTTTTGAGACATCCAAATGGAGATATCAAGTAGTCAATTGAATATCAGGTCTGAGCCTCTGCAGAGGAAAGAGCTAGAGATATAATTTGAGAAGACCTGCAGGTAGAGAACAGCACTTAATCTGTAGGAAGATTGAGATTTCCCAGAATCAGAAAAGAGCCAAGGCCTATTAGGAGGAACCTAGCAACTAAAGAAAAGCTAGGTGACTGAAATAACAAGATAAGAGGAATGAAATATACCTGCTCCCTGGAGCCGGTGAGACTCAAACCCATGATCAGTGAAAGGAGTCACCAGAACTCAGTCAATCTGGCTGGAAGCTTTTTATTTAACCACATGGCATCAGTCCCAGCTTGAACAGCTGGAGAACAGCCCTGTTGGCTGTTCACAGGGGATTTTTATAGGAAGGGGTTTCATGTAGGTGATGTTTACCAAAGCAAGCAAGAGCATAGGCAAAACATAATCTTGACTTGGTCAGCATGACCAATACTATTAATGCTATTGACACTATTGATACTTGATTACAAAAAGTCAAAACATATCATTGGATGACAGAAGTCAAAATACAACCTTGGGTGGGATGGTCTATTTTACAGGAATGAGTTTTATTATAAGCTCCTGATTAATACAGCAACTCAGTGCAGCTGGTGATAAGCCTCAAGGTTGTCAGGAGCCTTCTGCAAAGCTGCCAGCTTGGTAAACTTGAGAGATATTCTTTTGCTTTTTAGCAAGGATGTAAAGGAGCTAAGGCTGACTGCTGCTAGTCAGTGTTAGCCTGAAGTTTTTCTATACCAAGAGGTTTTGTCCTTTATCAATAATTTAGTTCTGTATTCAGACTTTACATGTTACAGGAAACACCTGTGATCAGGGCGCTCTCTCTCTCTACATATATATATATATATATATATATATATATATATATATATATATATACATACATATATATAATGGGGGGGGCAGGGTTGGTCATGGGGCCTGAACTCTGGGCCTGGGCGCTGTCCCTCAGCTCTTCAGCTCAAGGCTAGCGCTCTACCACTTGAGCCACAGCGCCACTTTTGGCTTTTTCTGCTTATGTGGTGCTGAGGAATCGAACCCAGGGCCTCGTGCATGCGCGGCAAGCGCTCTACCACTGAGCCCCCTTCCCAGGCCGTGGTCAGGAATATTAAAGTAAGGTAGGGGTGAAGTCATAACAGTGTGCTCTGGATTGAAATAAACGGCTGTTTTACCTTTTTGTTTTTTTAAGGTTTTTGAGTCCAGTCTGGCTTTAAATTCACCCATGTAACCCAGGGTGGCCCGAACTAAGTATCTCCGCGTCGCAGCGTTGAGATTACAGGCATATGACACTACGCTTGGTGAAAAGCGGTTTTAAAGCAGCTCTGCCCAGGAACGGGGCTAACCTCCGCGGGTGGCCGCGCAGGCCTCCTGGCAGGGCCCAACCCAAGTACCGGCCCAGCAGGGGGAACTGGGGTCCCCGCCCCCGGCCCCGCCCAGTCAGGCGATGGCCACGCCCACGAAGCGCAAGGCACGCCGTGGCTCCTCCCCTTCTCCTCCACATCGCCAGTCTCTCCAATCGCGTGTAGAGATCATCGCTCTACTCTAGCGGTGGTGTCGATCACTGCTCCAATCGGAGACCAGGACTTTATGATGGCGGAGAAGACTCAAAAGAGGTGGGTCTCCGTCCTAACCTGAGGCTCTTCTCTCCGCAGGGGTGGGGCTGCTTCTGGTTGCACGCCTTGGGGACCGCAGTCGTGTTTCTTCCCGGGCATCTGGATGGATGGGACCGAAAGACCAGACCCGGCGTCCTCGGAGGGACGGGGCGACGCCGCGGGGAAAGGGGCCGCTGCACGGGACGCGGCGTCGGGCCCGAAACGTTCTGGTTCTTCCTGCTCGCCGTACCCGGGCCCAGTGCGCCTGCGCACGCCCAGGGCTGGTGGTCCGCAGGCACTCCGCGTAGTGCCGGCGCCATCCGGGTCCCGGCCGGGTGCGGGGCGGGAGCTGTCAAGGGGGGTTTCGCCGGTTACTATGGTTCCGGCGTGGACCGGCGCCCGGTGCCCCGGGCCGGGGACCCAGGAATTTTGTGTTGTTTGTTTTCCTCGTTCTTTGATCACCCCTCCGCTTCTAATCCCGAACCCCTGGACTCCAGGATGCTGTCTGCCCGGTCCTGAGCACAGCTGAAAAAGATCCCCGCCCCGGTGATGTTTGGGTCCGGGCTGCTCCCGGGCCTCCCGGGCCGCGGCCGGCACGGCCAGCCAAATAAAACGCCTTGTCACCTTGGCCCGTGTCTCCGTGCACTTTCTCGACCCCGAGGTCATTACACCTGATGGGAGAAACGTCTTAGGGGAGAAATACAGACCGAAACCCATTTCCCAAAGAAGAGGCGTGCAGCACCCCTGCCGCTTCTTGTCAAATCAACCCTGTTTCCAGCGCCATCCAGAACAATTGGGAGTTTTCTGTGTAAGTGGATCATCTGTAATCTCAAACCCGTGAGAGGCAGATCTGCTACAGATTATACCGCACCTGCAGAGGAAGATACTGACCCGTTCTTCTGCGAGGTTTGAGTTTTCGTCTTCTCTTAGCTGCCTGTTCCTAACTGCCCCACACCCCCACATTTTAGTTGCACTGGTGGTGGAATGAATTCCTTTTTGTTGTTTTGTAGGTCGTGGGTCTTGAACTTGGCCTGGGCGCTGTCCCTCAGCTCAAGGCTAGCACTCTCCCACTTGGCCACAGCACCACTTCCAGTTTTCTGGTGGTTAATTGGAGATGAGAGGCGCATGATTTTTTTTTTTTTTTTTATTCTGCGTAGGCTGGCTTTGAACTGCAAAACTCAGATCTCAGCCTTCAGACCTAGTAGGATTACTGGTGGGAACCACTGGCATCTGGATTATTTATTTATTTATTTATTATTACTTTTTTTCTTGGTAGTGGGGCCTGAACTCTGGGCCTGGGCGCTGTCCCTCAGCTCTTCAGCTCAAGGCTAGCACTCTACCACTTGAGCCACAGCGCCACTTCCGGTTTTCTGAGTGGTTTATTGGAGATGAGAGTCTCAGGCACGTTTCTGCTCGGGCTGGCTTGGAACCGCGATCCTCACATCTCAGCCTCCTAAGTAGCTAGGATTACAGGCGTGAGCCACCAGTGCCTGGCTGAATTATTTCTTGACTCTTAGCTCTCTCCCTAGGTGGTGACTGGGGCCATCCTGCCCTCACTTGCCTTGGCTAAACTGTTAGCTAATGCTCTCGCCCAGTAAGAGGGTTGAGGACTGGAAGCATAGTCTTATAAATCCATGCAACTATTTCTTTATTATTTTTCTGAGAATATTTGCTTTTTTTGATCTGTCATTTTATGGATATCTATGCAGATAATTATTAAGGAGTTAGTAGTTTTATACCTGGGCTCCTCTAAAGCACACACCCATACACACACACACACACACCTCTGTTCTCCACTATAGTTATATCTGAACTTTTTAGTTAACAAGTCCTTTCTAATTTCATTTTATTACATGTATGTGTGTGTCTGTGTCTGTGTACTATTTTGTACTGAACCTAAAAACATGCCTTATGACTATAATCTGTTTTGTGTAAGACCATTTCCTTAGTTTTCTGTGTACTGATATTTTCCACATCTTCCAACAGATGTGTCAGATAGCTAGTCTTATATTTATCTAGAGAGAGAGGCCTATTGTCTGACTTATAAGATGTGTATTGGTTTCTGTGGTATTGGGGATGGAGCCCAGAAACTCTCATGTGCAAGTTTCACTGAGTTACACCATGTCTTTTTTTTTTTTTTTTGGCCAGTCCTGGGCCCTGAACTCAGGGTCTGGGCACCATCCCTGGGTTCTTCAGCTCAAGGCTAGCACTCTACCACTTGAGCCACAGTGCCACTTCCAGCTTTTTCTGCTTATGTGGTGCTAAGGATTTGAACCCAGGGCCTCATGCATGCAAGGCAAGCACTGTACCACTGAGCCACCTTCCCAGCCCCATCGTGTCTTTTTAAAAATTTTGTCTATGGGGCTGGGAAGGTGGCTCAGTGGTAGAGTGCTTGCCTTGCATACATGAGGCCCTGGGTTTGATTCCTCAACACCACATAAGCAAACAGAAAAAAGCCGAAGTGGTGCTGTGGCTCAAGTGGTAGAGTGTTAGCCTTGAGCTGAAGAGCTGAGGGACAGTGCCCAGGCCCAGAGTTCAGGCCCCATGACCGGACCCCCCCAAAAAAAAAAAATTTTGTCTACTACCAGAATTGTCTGTGTTTCCTCAGACTTTTTTCTAACATATTTATGTTATTTAGGCTTTAGGGGGGTTTTGGTGCCTGTCCTGTGGCTTGAATTGAGGGCCTAGACACTGTCCCTCAGCTTCTTTTGTTCAAGGCTAGCATTTTACCACTTGAGCCACTGTCATTTTTGGCTTTTTCTGAATAGTTTTTTTGTTTGTTTGTTTCATTTTGTTTGTTTTTTATGGTGCCAGTCCTGGGGCTTAAATGAGGGCCTGGGCTCTGTCCTTGAACTTCCTTTTGCTCAAGGTTAGCACTGTACCACTTGAGCCACAGCACCACTTCTGGCCTTTCCTGTTTATGTGGTACTGAGAAATCAAACCCAGGGCTTCATGCATGCTAACTTTACCACTAAGCCACATTCCCAGCCCATTCTGAGTAATTGGAGATAAGAGTCTCACAGACTTTCCTTCCTGAGCTAGCTTCAAACTGAAATCTCAGATCTCAGCTTCCTGAGTAAGCTAGGATTATAGGCATGAACCACTGGCTGCCTGACTGGGCTTTTCTTTTGAATTGGAACTATTACTCAAAGATTTGAAGAATAGGGCTGGAGAGTTGGCTCAGTGGTAGAGCGCTTGCCTTACATGCCTGAGGCCCTGGGTTCGATTCCTCAGCACCACATAAGCAAAAAAGAAAAAAACCCAGAAGTGGCACTGTGACTCAAGTGGTAGAGTGCTAGCCTTGAGCTGAAGAGCTGAGGGACAGCGCCCAGGCCCAGAGTTCAGGCCCCACGACCAGACCCCCCCCCCAAAAAAAAAAAAAAAGATTTGAAGAATAAAAGCTTGGGGGTGTGCTTCCTTGAGTGTGTTGATCTTCCTGAGTGCCAGGTCAAGGTTGGCTCATGGAAGAGTTCATAATGGTGACAACCACCTCTCCATTGCTTACTCTCCTGAGCTACCTTTAGTTTTGTTAAATAAACTCTTTAGGTTTTTTGTTTGTTTGTTTAAGCATTCATAATGTCCAGTAGCTTCTCTGGAAAAGAATCCCAACTTGTGGCCTGAACTTCTGTATAAGGCGTGGAGGCACACAGGCAGGAAGGCTGGTGGGTGGTCTTGCTGTGTGTCCTGCTCTTCACTCCCTGACTGTGTCTGCCACCTCAGGGAGAGAGCATTGGGCATCTGGCTCTGAACTGGGGTGAGGAATGGCCAGGGGCCAACAGCCGTGATTTACCCCTTTTGCTTCACATCCTGTTCTTTTTTTCTTTTACTTAACATTCTGGTAACTTCTTTCATATGTCTTTTCTTCTTTTGTTCCTTTACTGGCGGAATAAGAGTTTTAGAGGACCTGAGTTTCTTTTCTTTGCTTTTGTTTTTTGAGCTTTTATTGTGGCTTGCACTCAGGGCCTCAACCCTCACTTGGCTATTTTGCTCAAGGCTAGTGCTCCATCACTTTAGATATGGCTATACTTGCAGGAGTGGAGTGTAGAAAGGGGTATAAGCTGTTTATCTGTGGGGGTTTGCCGAGTTTTAAAATAAAGACCATATAGTAAATACTTTAGGCTTTGCAGGCCTTGGGTCAGTTGTGCCTGCTGATTTCTACAGACTGATGTACCTGGACAATGGTTAATGACTGGGCTGGGCAGCCTCTGTTATAAGCAAGTCACCATGTTTAAATGCAAGTTCAGCATGAGCACTGGCGTGTTTTCTGCAGGTTTTCCTTATTTTTTAAGGAAGAGATAGTATTCCTGTAAATTGATGACTATATTTTCATCCTTCTCATTTTATGCCTCTTAATTCATTAACAATATCTCTTATCTGTCATTCCAGAGAGTTTGTGGATATTCAGGTTATCAGGAGCACACATTCAAAAGAATATCGGGAATCTGTATTTTTAAAATATCTTACAGTGCTTTTTTTTTTTAATCTGAAAAGTTTCAAAATCAGGCTGGGAATATGGTTTAGTAATAGAATGCTTGCCTAGTATGCATGAAGCCCTGGATTCAATTCCTCAGTACCACATAAGCAGAAAAGGCTGGAAGTAGAGCTGTGGCTCAACTGGTAGAGTGCTAGCCTTAAGCCAAAGGAGCCTAGGGACAATGTCCAGACCCATAGTTCAAGCCCCAGGACTCACAAATATATATATAACAATTAAAATCTTGCATATTGGGCTGGGAATGTAGGCTAGTGGTACAGAATGCCAGCGTGGCATATATAAGATCCTAGGTTCAAGTCTCAGCACTGCAGGAAAAAAAGTTTTACATCATCTTCAGTAAGTCACCAATAAACCTTTTTCATGCATGAATATTTAATAGAATTTCAGAAAAATAAATTGATATGAATAAGTCATTGTAGTCTTCATTTCCACTTCTTTTCATGTTTACAAAATATAAAAAGTTTTGGAGAATTTGTAAATCAAGGCACTAACATTTTGGTCAAGAAAGCCTCAACTGTTTGACTTACCAGCTTTTAATAATTTACTCAAAAGACAGGTTCATGGCATAAAAGGTTGCTTTTAAGCCAGGCGCTAATGGCTTATACTTGTTATCCTAACTACTCAGGAGCTGAGATCTAGGAATCAGGGTTTGAAGCCAGGCCAGACAAGAAAGTCCATGAGACTCTTATCTACACACACACACACACACACACACACACACACAGGCCAGGCCAGACAAGAAAGTCCATGAGACTCTTATCTATACACACACACACACAAGTGGAGCAGTGGCTTAAGTGGTAGGACATTAGTCTTAAGCAAAAAAGCTCAGAAACAGTGTCGGGACCCTGTGCCCCAGAACTCAACAAGTAAAAATTACCTAGCTCTCCTACTTTAATGATACAGTTATTTGACAGTTCTTCCAGTTTGCTTGGGGTCGATACAGATAGCATTTTACTAGTTACAGCTGTATCTAACAGTGGGTCACAGCAGAATGTGAAAAAGTACCACTAAGTTCTGTATAAATTGTTGAAGAGTCTTTTGAACAATTTGTACTACAAGTTGTATTTTTTTTCTTGTAGGTCGTGGGGCTTAAACTCAGGTCCTGTCTGAGCTCTTTTACTCTAGGCTAGCACTTTGAGCCACAGTTCAACTTCTAGTTTTCTGGTGGTTTATTTGAGATAAGGGTTTCACAGCCAGGCACTGGTGGCTCATGCCTGTAATCTTAACCACTCAAGAGGTTGAGATCTGAGGATCACAGTTCAAAGCCAGCATGGGCAGCAAAGTCCATGAGACTCTTATCTCCAATAAACCATGAGAAAACTGGAAGTGGCACTGTGGCTCAAGTGGTAGAGCTTTAGCCTTGAGCTGAAGAGCTGAGGGACAGTGCCCAGGTCCAGAGTTCAAGTCCCACAACTGACAAAAAAAAAAAAAAGTTTCACAGACTTTCCTGCCCAGGCTAGTTTTTTTTGTTTTGTTTTGTTTTGTTTTTGCCGTTCGTGGGGCCTGAACTCTGGGCCTGGGCGCTGTCCCTCAGCTCTTCAGCTCAAGGATAGTGCTCTACCACTTGAGCCACAGCGCCACTTCCAGCTTTTTCTGCTTATGTGGTGCTGAGGAATCGAACCCAGGGCCTCATGCATGCAAGGCAAGCACTCTACCACTGAGCCACTTTCCCAGCCCCCCAGGCTGGTTTTGAACCATGACCTCAAATCTCAGCCTCCTGAGTAACTAGGATTACAGGTGTGAACCTAGCAAGACAGACAGTTTTGTTATGCATACTGTTTAAAAAAAAAAAAGAAATATTTACAAATCTTAAAAGGCTGAACTCTGAGCTTGCTAATTGTTGGTTTATGACCTCTTTTACTCACACTTCACAGAAAGAATGGTATATTACATATTGCTTGGTTTGTTTGTGGGGTTTTTTGTTTTTGGTTTTGTTTTTGCCTGTCCTGGGGCTTGAACTCAGGGCCTAGGCACTGCCCCTGAGCTCCTTTTGCTCAATGCTAGCACTCTACCACTTGAGCCACAGTACACAGCTTTTTCTGTGTATGTGGTACTGAGGAATTGAACTCAGGGCTTCATGTATGCTGGGCAAAAACTCTACCACTGAGCCACATTCTCAGCTCTGTTTGTTTGTCTTGAGATAGGATCTCATTATGTGGCCCAGGATGGGCTGAGACTCACAATCCTCTTCCTTGCATCTCTAATGCTGAGATTACAGATTTGCACCATTATACTTGGTTTATTGCAAAAATCTTTGCTTAAGGGATTACTCTTTCTGGTGTTTGTGTCTTAGATCATAAGGTGCCATAATTTATTAACCCGTCTCTACTGATAATCTACATTTTGTTTAGCATTTTGCTGTTTAGAAACAATGATGGTTTAAAAAAAATGATGGTATTACTTTAAGATCCAAACCTCTTTTTTAATATTTATTTTATAATTGTATTATTGTTTATGTGGCACTGAGGAATCAAACCCAGGGTCTCATGCATGCTAGGCAAGCACTCTACCATGTGAGTCATACCTCTACTTCTAGCCTTTTGCTGGTTAGTTGGAAATGGAGTGTTATAGACTTTTCTGCCCAAGCTGACTTTGAACCACAATTCTCAGAGCTCAGTCATCTGAGTAGCTAGGATTACAGGTATGGACCACAAATATCTTACCCAAAGTTGTTTTCTTAAGTGTTTTTTTTTTAAATAATATATCATTTATGACTTTGGCCTGAAGGCCAATATGCCACTTGAGTTTATATTAAACTGCACTCTCAAAATTGGCTTTCCATTTCCTATCTAGTTTTTAAACCTCTTTCTTATTGCAGTGTCAGCATAGTTTCTGAGATCACAGTTTTAATCTTCCCCATAATGAACTTTTCTCTTGTCCCCACAGTGTGAAAATTGCACCAGGAGCTGTTGTGTGTGTAGAAAGTGAAATCAGAGGGGATGTGACTATAGGTAAGAAAATGGTTTGTTAATGTTATTTCTCAAGAACTGATGTGATGTAACATAGTTTAGTCTTCCTCTTTATTTTTTTACGTATATGTGTCTGTATACATATATATATTGAGTGTGTATATGTATACACATCTTACCTATCATGGAGTTCTGTTCCAGCGACCTTGCCATAGGTGAAAATCTGCAAAGTGTCAATAAGTGAACCAAATACTATATATTAAGGGACGACTACACAACTTTGCTACTTCGTGGATTTTCACCTATCATGGGGGTCTCTGGAACGTAGCTCCCACTATAGGTGAGGGATCACTATTTTTTGTTTTTAATCCACAATACAGTGAAGCCAAAATAAGTGAGCCGCGACATAGCAAGGGAACGACTGTACATATATGTATGTACATACACACACATACGCAGTGTGTGTACGTATGTGCTTGATGCTGCTCATCTCTCCCTCTACCCCCAGGGCCTTAAGCATGCTAAATGAGCCCCCTGTCCCCAGCCTCATATTACCTTTTTTTTTTTTGGTTTAGTTGGTCATAGGGCTTGAACTCAGGGCCTGGGTGCTATCTCTGAGCTCTTTTGCTCAAGGTTCGTACTCTACCACTTTGAGCCACAGCTCCACTTCTGGTTTTCTGGTGGTTAATTGGAGAGAAGAGTCTCATGAACTTTCCTGCCCAAGCTGGGTTGACCCATCAGCACCTGGCATATTACACTTGTTTTAAGAAGCAAAACCTACATGTTAAGAAGATTCAGAGTCCTCCATGTTCTTATATGGTTTTCATTATGCGTGTTTCTTATCTTTTTCACACTCAGGCCTATTTCTTTTATTGTGAATAAACCTGAGAATTTTCCAGAGTTATTTAGGTAATCTTTTCTGCCATGGTTGCATTTGATATAAAATACCTCTAATCTTGGGCTAGAAATGTGGCTTAGTGGTAGAGTGCTTGCCTAGCATGCGTGAAGCCCTGGGTTTGATTCCTCAGTACCATATAAACAGAAAAGGCCAGAAGCAGAGCTGTGGCTCAAGTGGTAGAATGCTAGCCTTGAGCAAAAGAAGGTCAAGGACAGTGCCCAGGCCCTCAGTTCAAGCCCCAGGACTGGCCAAAAAAATAAATAAAAATTTTAATAATAATATATATGTAATCTTTTGATTGCTATTGATTCATTTTTTCTTAACCCTCTGACAAAGAGCCTCCTGGGCAATGTAAAGTGAAGTCAAAACTGAGAGTGGAAATGAGTTCTAATCACAACTCTTTCCACCATATCTCACTTTTCATTTTAGCACTTTTACTCTTCATGTTTTTTCTTACATTACTAGAAAAACTGGTTTGAATATTTTTAGATTGTGCTGTAGAGTTGAAGATTTGAGTACTTAATAAACTGTTCTCTGGGTTAGTAACAGTAAACTCAAGGTGGTTTAATTGATAGAGTTTTCAAAATATTTTGTATAATTTTCTATGTTCTAGTCATTTAAACTTTTACAAATTATTCCTTTCTGAAATATTTCAGAAAGAAAACAATTTTTATTTGCTGTGTTTCAAGTTATTTGTTTATTGTTTTATGCTGGTATTTGGTATTGAACTTAGAGCCTTGGTTCTGTCCCTGTGGCTTTTTTGCTCAAGGCTAGCACTCTACCACTTGATCCACAGCTCCACTTCCAGTCTTTTGGTGGCTAATTGGAAATTAGAGTCTCTGTATTTTCCTTCCCAGGCTGACTTTGAACCTCAAATCTCAGCCTCCTGAGTTGCTAGGATTACAGGTGTGAGCCAGTGGGTAAATAATATTTTATAGTATTATGCTTGTTTTTAATTAGCTGTCTGGATTTGTGGGCCATGAATCATTTCCTGTAAGTCTTCATCTGAGAGTTGAAGAACATTCAGAAAGTGACCTCCAAGCACAGGTCTGTGGTTCGTTAGAAGTATTAGGCCATGATAGGCCATGGAAATGGGAAGGCAGTACAGGGTACTATGGACAGGCTTGCCCTGTAGGCACTTCATCCCTTAGCTTTGCCCAGCCCAGGTTGAATACACACAAAACGCCTCCCTTTTGCAGGAATCTTTTTCAGTAAGGCAGAACAGTGGCTTTGTTTGTAATGCTGCCCCACAGGTTCATAAGTCAAAGGAATTGTTTCATTTTTAAAAGAGCACTTGGGGATGTTTGAACTGTGGATATGAATTGTGGACATGAAAATGTACTCAGAGATTACTTTCTGTGACAAAGGGAGACTAGGAAACGTGTCCTTGACCAAATGTGGGAAATGAAATGTCACGCAAGGCACGTCTTTCTGGCTGCACTGCCTCAAGCCCAGCCAAGCACTTAAGAAAATAATTTATCCGCCAGTTAAAGCAGCTCCAGCTCCAGACACATTTCTCCAAACAAGGAGATAAACCAAATAGGATTTCAGCATATTCGGTAAGAAAACACACAAACTGCCTTGCCAGAAAGAGTTCCAAGAGGTTCACAAACAGCATTAAAAGGAAAGGAAAAAGAAACTTTCCATGGTGCCAGATTTTTATTTTTAAATTTTAACCTTAGGACCCCAAGAACTAGCTTGAATTGAGACCCATTCTAGTTTGCTCCCCAGGAGCAAGCAAACTGCCCAGATTTGGTGTGCTGTCACCCTCCGTGCTTGAACCCCCAGCTTCCAGCCCTGACTCCCCCCATGCCCCAGCCCGGCTGTTACACAGTGAAGTGTGTGTGCCACACTCTAGCCCTTGCCCTAGAGGCGGGGTCTCTGTTCTGTTACTGCTGCAGGATTATTTACTGTCACCTCACAGCTCAATAACTGGCATCTTTGTCTAGCCTGTAGTTTAGCAATGCTGCCAGCAGGTGGAGCTGGTGTCTTAAATCACAGGCCTCACCTAAATTGCTGCGTCCATTCATAACCAGGACTTGGCCATTTATTTACCTATCAAATAACCAAGAATGAGAAATAATTTCAAATCCTGGTTAAAGCAGCTCAGGCTCAACCAGGTACCAATGGCTCACACCTGTAATCCTAGTTACCTCAAGAGGCTGAGAGCTGAGGATCGTGGTTCAAAGCCAGCCAGGGCAGAAAAGTCCATGCGACTCTTATCGCCAGTAAACCACTCAGAAAAAGCCGAAGTGGTACTATGGCTGAAGTAGTGGAGTCTTAGCCTTGAGCACAAACAGGCTCAGGGACAGCTCCCAGCCCCTGAGGTCAAGCCCCAGGACTAACAAAAAACAAAACAAACAAAAAAAGCAGCTCAGGCTCTATTTTTAAATATGGTACAAGACATCTGATATGTGCCCACCGCATGGACAACTTGAGAAGCTTCCCAGGACCCCATCTTCTGTCCTGATTAGAATTTGCTTGGGAAGTTTTACTTTGGCAGCCAGAGTGACTGGGAAGTCTCGGTGTCACTTTGGACTATGCATCCTGTCTTCTACCACCACCACGGCCACCCTCCTGCCATCCGTCTCCCCAAATAAGATGCAGTTCTCTGAGCAGCAGGAAAACCTGTGCTTATTTTCATGGTTGTTGTGAGTGAGCACATTGCTAGTTTTCAAAATGATAAAGTTTGTGTTTTTCTTTTTCCTTTTCTTCTGGTGCTGATGATCAAACACAGAATGTTCCATAGGACCTTGCATCTGTGAAGTACACACTCTATGCCTGAGCTACACCTCTAGTCCAGCACCTTTCCATTTTCCATGAGACATAAAATGCTGCATGTTTGACTGTCATTAGCAGAAAATTATGTTTAATAAGTTGAATACTGAATTTTATGGACAATGTCACCTTCCTGACCCCTCCCTGCCTCACATTTAGGGTCAGTTACTGCCTGTCACTGTTTACCAGTAGAAATAGCCTTAGTTAAGCCCAGCATAGAGAGGCCAAAGCAGGAGGGTCCTATGTTTGAGGACCTCCTGGGCTACATTTAAATAATAAATAAAACCAAAAAAGAAAAACAGCAAAAGAAATGGAGCAGCCTTGTCTGGGAGGTGAGGAGAATGGATACTAGAGACAGGCTAGCAGGTATTTTCCCAGAAATAGTTTCATTGTCAGCCAAATGTGGCTGCAGCAGATGACAGGCAGGAAAGAGTGTGTAGGTTTCCAGCCTGAGATCGGGGTAGGTATCACTCCTGCTCTTGAAGAAGCTTCTCCGAGTTCCCTCGTTTGAGAGTGGGAACATTGCCTTAGGTCTTCCAATGCCAGCATCATAGGAACACAGTGTTCAGCTTGTTTCCTCCCAGTGGGCATTTTTGTATGGGACAATGCTTCAGAAACAAGGCTGAGGTTATAGCCCATGTAACCCATATTTAAATACACGCATCCATGTACCCTAGTCAAAAGTGGCATCCTGTGGTGTGGGAGAGCTTGACATTGTCTGCAGAGTGCCTTGCCTTGCTGAGACAAAGAGAAAAAGGGAATCCGTCCTTACTTCCAACTATGTGCCAGGTTCTGTGTCCAGCATCATCTCATCTACCCTACCACAGCCCTGCAGGTCTGACACTCATTACCCGCATTTCCCACTGAGATTGTGAGATAGAGGCTGAGCCAGAGCTGTCTGGTTCTGATGCCTGTGTTAGTTCATTTGTCTTGGCTCCAGAGTTGGCACTAACTAATGAATGAGATAGTCTGTAAAGTACCCAGCGCGGTGCCTGGCACATACTTAGAACACGTTCCTCCCAACAGCCTCACCCACCTCAGTCACCTCCCCACCTGCTGGAAACATAGCTTCCACTGATAATTTCTTCTTAACTGATATTTTGAACAGGACCACGGACGGTGATCCACCCTAAAGCACGAATTATTGCGGAGGCTGGGCCCATCATTATTGGCGAAGGGAACCTAATAGAAGAACAAGCCCTGATCATAAATGCGTGAGTAAAAGCTCACAGGTACTTTGCACTCACTTCCAACTGTCTGGGGACCTTTTACACCTGACATGTGGAATGCCCATGATTTTAAAATTAGAGAAACATTTCAACATAAAGGAATGAGGAACCTGCAAGCCAGATGGGGAAAGGCTTATCCAAGGCAAGACAACTCATTGGTGGCTAATTAGCATCTGGTAAATTGTCTGTGTGTGGTAATCATCCCCTTCTGTGTCATTTTCTCATCTACCTCTTAATCAGTTCCTGAGCCTGTCCAATGTCCAAGGGCCGTACATAACACCCTGAAGAGAGGTTTTGGGTGAGTTCTTGGCGCTGGTTGGAATGTTCTCTCAGGCCTGAACTCATAGCTCACCTCTAATACGTCTTCACATGTATAACACCCAGAATTACAGTGAACAAATTTGGAGTCCTGGAAGCAAGTTTTAAACTTCAAAGACAAAAGGAAAATAAAGTACTACACTATGTACATGATCTCTGAATGGAGACTATAGTACCCATGAAATTTTCATAAGCATGTCTAGGTCTTTCTAGATAAAATTTTGGGAAGCAAGTCAAGCTTATACCTAATGTGCAGCCACAATGCATGGAATTTGTAGAATAACTTTTGAATATTTAGCTGTGATAAATAAGACTGATTTGTCTGAATTCTTACTTAGGACTTAGGAGGTTCTTACAAAATTAAGCAATTTCTCTTTATAGTACCTTTGGCCCCTTTAGTAAAGTCAGCTGATAGCAGTGGTGCTATGCAGTGGCTCACCTGTGAGGTCAAAGCCTCCTCACAGTACAAGTGTTTTATCTTCTACTCATTTCAGCTAACTACTAATACCCAAAATAATTATGTGAATATCTGTTTACCTTGGACAATCTTGAAGTATTTGGTAAGGATGGGAAATTTTCAAGTCAGGCATGATTTTGATTCTAATTTAACAAGCTAAAAGTATAGTCAGCTCCTACCACCTTATCCAAGAAAGACTCTCTGAACTTCAAGTTTAGGAAATAAAGGAGCCAGTGGCGGTGACTCATGCCTGTAATCCTAGCTACTCAGAAGACTGAGATCATGGTTCAAAGCCAGCCTAGACAGGAAAAGTCCATGACACTCTTATCTCCAATTAAGCACCAAAAATGCCACATGAGGAGCTGTGGCTCAAGTGCTAAACTTCTTTTACATTTCTGTGATTCTGTTCAACTCAGAATCAGTGTACTCCAGCATATAGGAGAAATGATTTGCTTGGCTCAAGAAATAACTGATGTCATTATGTATTTAAGTTCAATAAAACTAATTGAGAGAATTAACCTAAATTCTCAAATAGGAGGAAAATTGATTATTGTGTTACTGATTCTTAGGTTTGTTTTGTTTTGTTTTTTGTATTACATCAACTTTATTCTCAGAGCAACCTGTGTGAGTTAACAAACCCTCACATTGCCAACTGTTGTAGGACTCATACTGTGTTACTTTTTGATGCCTTTTTTTTTCTTTTCATAGTTACCCAGATAATATAACTCCTGACACTGAAGATCCAGAACCAAAACCTATGATCATTGGAACCAATAATGTGTTTGAAGTTGGCTGCTGTATCCTTTATAGTAATTACCATAATTAACCCAGATCTCTCCCCTGGTATAAGTGTCCTAATTTGTCTATCAAATATATTTCTACTGTTGAGGTTTTAATATAAAACTTTCCCTACCAGCTTCTGTGTTTGCTACTCAGCAAGTGGTGCTATTTTAGTAGGTTCTGGTAACAAGAGATGTCATAGCAGGAGGAAATAGTCACTAAGGGTAGATTTTTGAAGATTATACCCATTTCCTAGTCTCTATTTTGCTCTCTTCTTCCTGTCCACCATAAAGTGAAGAAACAAGTCCTCCACATGTCCCTGCTGCCCTTATGTTCTTCCCAAGCAAGCAAGAATAGAACTCTGTTTTGTTTTGTTTTGTTTTTTGGGGGGAGGGATCCGGTTGTGGGGCCTGAACTCTGGACCTGTGCGCTGTCCCTCAGCTCTTCAGCTCAAGGCTAGCACTCTACCACTTGAGCCACAGCGTCACTTCCGGCTTTTTCTTTTTGCTTATGTGGTGCTGAGGAATTGAACCCAGGGCCTCATGCATGCAAGGCATGCGCTCTACCACTGAGCCACCTTCCCAGCCCCCAGAACTCTGTGAAACTGAACCAGAGTAAATCTTTCCTGTTTTTAGATGCTTGTGTCTGGTATTTGGTCTCAGCCACCCATGTATAATATATATTATGATTACATTGATAAGAGTAGACCCTCAAAGTCTTTATAAATAGACTCACAAAGTATTTAAAAAAATCTTTTCTGGGGGCTAGAACTATAACTCAGTGCATAGTATATCCTTTGTGTATTTGATCTTTAGTACCACAAAAAAGAAAAATATTCCTCCTGTTGTGAGTAACTCATTCTCTCTCTCTCTCTCTCTCTCTCTCTCTCTCTCTCTCTCTCTCTCTCTCTCTCTCTCTCTCTCACACACACACACACACACACACACACACACACTTATCTCTATATGAACATTTGAAAGTTACTGACAGATAACAGAAGCTGAGAAGAAGTAGACACAAAAATTAGTTTGGACTTCTGTACTGATTCAAGAACCATGTCTTTGTCAGTTTAGATCCTGTATCATTTTGGGTACATTACTTTATATTTTCTTATTCAAGAAAATGATTGGGTGGGACAGTTTTTGTGTGTGTGTGTGTGCCAATCTGGGGGCTTGAACTCAGGGCCTAGACTCTGTCCCTGAATATTTCATTTTTTATGTGTTATTTTAGTTTATCTACCAGAGTGTTCACTTTTGGGGGCAGGGGGTGGGCTGTCACTGGGCTTGAACTCTGGGCTTGGGCACTGTCCCTGAGCTCTTCAGCTGAAGGTTAGCACTGCACCACTTGAGCCACAGCACCATGTCCAGTTTTCTGGTGGTTCATTGGAGATAAGAGTCTCACAGACTTTCCTACCGAGCTGGCTTTGAACTGCGATCCTCAGCTGTCTGCTTCCTGAGTAGCTAGGATGGCAGTAGCTAGGCTCACTGAGGTGAGCCTCCAGTGCCCGGCTTTCACCACTTCTTTGTTGGACTTTTTTTTTTTTTAATTCTGAAAAGATAATAAAATCTTAAGTCTGAAAACAATGTTTAATTCTGAAAACAATGTTTAAGTGATTTGGTAGTTTTGACTTTCTTTAAACAGCTGTGAAAATATGCTCATAAAATCAGAAGATAAGGTACTCTTTTTAACAAGTAGTTTTGTTGTTATTGTTGGTCATGGGACTTGAACTCAGGGCCTAGGCACTGTCCCTAACTCTTCTGCTAGTAGTCTATTACCTTGAGCCACAGCCCCACTTCCAGTTTTCTGGTGGTTAATTGGAGATCAGATTCTCACAAGGACTTTTTCCACTTGGGCTGGCTTCAAACAGTGATCCTCAGCCTCCTGAGCAGCTAGGATTACAGGCGTGAGCCACTGTTACCCTGCAAAAAAGTACTTTTATAAAAGTATTCCTTTTGAAAAGCATCAGAGTCATTTATTTAAACCTAGAAATATTTATGGTTAAGGACTAAAACTTGCCTACAGAATACCCTGAGCAAAGAATTCTGGCAAGGGTAAACCTATGTCACCCTTCCCACGCTCTGCGCCCTGGTACTGTTAAAGGAGAGACATGTTGTATTAGTAGGAAAGAAGGGTGATCATATTTTAAATATTTACTTAAGTCTGGCTTACAGATTCCCAAGCCATGAAAATGGGAGATAACAATGTCATTGAATCAAAAGGTAAGCTATGTTCAGAGCTTTCTTGTCATAGTGATTGCCTCCTTTGTCTTGGCCTGGGAAACAGTCTAAGCACAAACTCTGAAAAGATGGTATGCTTGGAAGTGGACTAAAATCATTCTTAGACTAATTGTCTCAAAAGAGCCTAATCTAGTTATGTGGTTATCTGAGAATGTGGTTAAATACATTAAGTTAAAAAGTCAGAGGTATACAGCTAAGTTGGGATTGGATTAAACTATAAAAAAAGATTTGGAAAAGATCTTTCTGCTAACTGTAAGCCTCAGTGACATTTTAGTTGATTGGTGTTATTGTAAAATTAAAGAAAAAAAAATCTCAGTTTCTACAGCATTTGCTCTCTTTAATTTCAAAACTACTTTATCCTACCCAATCAGAAACAAATACTATGTACTGACAACATTGAGCCAGCCAGGGGATTAAGTTAAGTCACTAGCACTGTGGGAATCAGCTCCAAGAGCTTGTCCCTACCAGAGTGCAGGAAGAAGCTGAAGATGACACTGTAGGACACTGGCTTATCTTTCTTGGTCCTGATTGGCATGAAAGACAATGCTTCTTTTCTTGAAACTAGCAAAATCATTCTTTTTGTAATCTACTTTATGCCTTTTATTTTAAATTTGCATAACAGCTATCACTGTTGTCATCTTTGGCATTTTCCATGTATTGTATGCACACGGTGTGTCAGACCTGGGCCCATACCCTCCATCTGTTACCTCACTGATCCTGAAAGCACTCTGTCATGAAGTAGGGTGGGCTCTTCAATTTAACTTGGGCTCATAGACTCTACAGTGACTTGGCCCACGCCACACACTAGTTAGCAGCAGAACTGTCTTCCGTATCCCACTGGTGTGCACTATTTGCTTCTGTGTTATACAGTCTACATATACTAAAAGAGTTGTGATCATATCATGTCTTTGGTTGCACTTTCTGTTTTGACTGCAGCATACGTGGGCAGGAATGTAATACTGACAAGTGGCTGCATCATCGGGGCTTGTTGTAACCTAAACACTTTTGAGGTCATTCCTGAGAATACAGTGATCTATGGTGCAGACTGCCTTCGCCGGGTGCAGACTGAGCGACCACAGGTACTTGGACCACTCCTAAAAAAAGAGTTCTATCTAGGCCAATCTCTCCTGCAGTACCATCTCCCTAATAGTTGTGATGGTGATTAGATTTACTGTTGAAAAAACAGATAATTAGTGGCCAAGGGTGTAGCGCAGGAATAGTGTTTGTTTAACACGTGTGAAGCCCTGGGTTCAATTTCAGCACCTAAAAAGAAAAAGTAAAAAGATAAATAAAAAGCTGAGCACTAGTGGCTCAAGCCTGTAATCTGGCCTACTCAGGAAGCTGAGATCTGAGGATCACAGTTCCAAGTCTATCTCCAATTAACCACCAGAAAACTGGAAGTGGTGCTATGGCTCAAGTGGTAGGGCATTAGCCTTGAGCTTAAATGCTGAGGGACAGTGCCCAGGCCCAGAGTTCAAGCCCCACAACTGACAAAAAAAAAAGAAAAGAAAAGAAAAAGATTCATAAAATAAAACATTAGAGGACCATTACTAAAACTTGGACTTATCTGCAGCTTACTTATTGAGTCCTCATGTTACTATAAAAGATAAAGATCACAGTGGTGTTAATTATAAGAAGAGAAAATCCGGAGTTGCTGTTCCTGGTTTGGAAATGCATCACCAAACCTCGCAAATCATGTTTATTCACTCCTAAAATATGAATCCTCAGGATGAAGGATGACCCTTGAATCTGGAAATTTGAGTCTGTTTATTAGCTTATTAAAATAACACAGCTTAGTCATAAACACTATTTTTAAAGAGGCAAATGTGTTTATTTTCTTGGCTTATAAAAAATAAGTCCCTCTTAATAACCCAAATCACGAATAATAAAAGAATATATGTTTGGAATTTAATGTTAAAATAGAAGACAACAAGATAGATCATTTGGGAACTTTCTTTACACATGAGATATCTAGCTTGAATTTCTCAGCCTCATTGCTTTGCATATTCAACATTCACCTCTTCAGTTTCCTTTCTCCACCAAAAGAAAATATTTTCAACACATTTATCTCTTTGCCTCTGAGTCTTAACCGCGTTTATCAGTAATTAATTCTTTCTGGGTTGCTCTATTTTTGTAATGTTTGGCTTTATTATTGTTACTATTCTCAAGTAGTACTATTTTTCTTCATAATAGCAAAAATGATAGGAGCGTGAGAAATAAAGCTGGAGTTAGGAAAGGAGTTTAGAATTAAATGAGAAGACTATCTCATTTCATTTGGTTTAATTTGTAAAGGGTATACAACACTATTTTCCAAATTGCACTTATCATAGGATACATTGAATTCTATTTAAAAGACAGATTCCCCCAGACTTTGAGAATCATGGGTAGGGACCTAAAAATCCCTGGTTTCCACAAGAATCCCAAGTGAGTGCATAGTTGGGGCAAGTGTTGTTTGTGGTGGGAGCCAGCGGAAGGTGCCATGCCTCAGCCACATGGGAGACAACCAACTGTCCTCCCACCATTCTGCTTAAGGATCTTTGTGTAATTGCAGTTTGGCCCTTCTTTATTAGCAAACTGAGTACATTGTAACTTTAACAAAGAAACAAGCACATAAACAAAAGTAAGTCATTGGCAATCATTTCTGAACCCCATGGCCTACAATAATCATTTCTACCTGGTATTCTGATTTGACTTTCTGCAATCAGTTTTAATTTTCTTTTCTTTTTAGCCCCAGACACTACAGCTGGATTTCTTGATGAAAATCTTGCCAAATTACCACCATCTGAAAAAGACAGTGAAGGGAAGCTCCACTCCTGTTAAGAACTAGGAAGAGTTGGGTGTCATGACAATGTGCATCCTTGACTGCTGCCAGTTTCCACAAGTAACACATGTTGACATACTGTAAGACTGAGCTAGAGAGAACAGTAATGGATTTTTCCTGTTAACTGTTCTTTATAATTGATAGAAAATGGGTTATGCATAAGAGAGAATAAATGCATCGTTAATCTCTGAGCTTGGCTTGCCTCACTGAACATGATTTGTTCTAGGTTCATTCCTTTTCCTGCAAATGACACAATCTTATTCTTTCTAATGGATGAATAAAATTCCATTGTGTATAGTTAGCACATTTCTTTGATCCACTCATCTATTCTAGGGCATCTGTGCTATTTCTATAATTTGGCAATTGTAAATTAGCATAGCAGTGAACATGGATGTACAAATATCTTTACAGTTCTCTGACTTGTAACATTCTGGGTAGAGGCCCAAGAGTGGTATTATCCCTCATATTGTAATTGTGAAGAGAAAAACTGTGATTAAATTTCTAAAGTGATGGTACCAGTCAGTCTAATTGTTCCAAAATGGAGTGATTTGATTTTTGTAAGAATGCTTATGACTCTCATTGGGCTGTACTGTGGTGGACTGAGCATAGAGCTTTTCAAAAAAGGAGACCATCACATAAATGCCTTGGTCTTGATAAATACTGTTCACTTTTCAACTCTTGAAGATCAATTCAGAATTTTCAGGTAACAGATCAGAAAAAAATGTTGCCTTGGAAATCCTGGTGAACACATTTAATTCTTTCCTAATTCTCATTTGTTCACTATTCCTCTCATAAAATTTACTCTCTGGCCTCTCATGTGACTTTCTTCCTTATCTCTGTGTTGAATTCTTCTACAGTGCTGGCCTTAAGTATTTTCTGCACTGCTGACTTAGTGGTCATGAATTGCATTAGCTTGTGTTATCTTAGAAGGTCTTTATTTCTCTACCAATTTTAAGGATTAACTTTGCTGGATATAGTAATCTTGGTTGGCAGTTATTCTTAGAGCTTTAAATATATCACTACATGCTTTCCTGGCTTTTAGCATTTCTGCTGAGATGTCTAATGTAGTTTTAATGAGTTTGCCTTTGTCAGTTAAATTGGTGTTTTTCTTTTGCAGCTTTTAATATTCTTTGTTTGTCCTGTAGTCTTGGCATTGTGATGTGGAGAGATTCTTTTCTGGCCTTTTCTACTAGTGTTCTGAATGACTTCTCTCCTTAGATGTATATCTTTCCCTTGATTTAGGAAATTTTCTGCCGTAATTTTATTCAATAGGTTTCCTATGCCTTTAATATATATTTCACATCCTTCTTCTACCTTGTGGATTCTTAGGTTTGCTTTGTTTTGGTTTTTTGTGCTGGTTCTGGGACTTGAACTCATACCTAGTTGCTGTTGCTGAACTTTTTATGCAGGAGGCTAGAGGTCTGCTACTTGAGCCACAAGTCCTTTCTGGCTTTTTGGTGGTTAATTGGATTTAAAAGTCTTACAGACTTTTCCGTCTGCATTGGCTTCAAACCTTGATCCTCAGATCTCAGCCTCCTGAGTAGAAAGGATTACAGGTATGAGCCACTGGTGGTGCATTGTAGGTTTGTTTTACTGTTCATGTTTCAGAGTTCTAGAAAATTATGGTCATGCTCTTTTTTCTTAATTGTTTTCTGAATGTAATATTTTCTCAACTTTGTGTTTGATCCCTGATATTTATTGGCTCTGCTTGAACTGGTCTGTTGGAGTTACTTTCAACTGTGGTTTTTATTTGATTTATCAAGTTTTTTATTTCCAGTTTTTCAGGGAAGGAGGAGTTCCTAGAATGTCAATTTCCTTGCTGTATTTTTCATAAATCTTGCTCCCTTTCTTGTCCAGTCTTCAGTTGACTTCCTTACTCAGTGGCTTAGTGGTAGAGTGCTTGCCTTGCATGCATGAGGCCCTGGGTTTGATTCCTCAGCACCACATAAGCAGAAAAAAACAGAAGTGGCTCTGTGGCTCAAAGTGGTATAGCACTAGCCTTGAGTTAAAGAGCTGAGGGACAGAGCCCAGGCCAGAGTTCAGGCCCCACAACTGACCAAAAAAAAAAGATTATTTATTCTAGGCATCAGTGGCTAACACCTATAATTCTAGCTACTCAGGAGGCTGAGATCCAGGGTTTATGGTTCTATGCCAGCCCAGGCAGGAAAGTGCATGAGACTCTTATCTACTACTCAGAAAAAGCCCGAAGTGGTTCTGTGGCTTAAATGAGAGGCTAGAACACTAGCCTTGAGGACAAAGAGGCTCAGGGACAGCACCCAGGCTCTTCGCTCAAGCCCCAAGACTGGCAAAAAAAAAAAAAAAAGAAAAAGATTATATGGAGTGAAGATGTGAGAAATTGATAGGGGTAGAGCACAACAAATAGCAACCAAAAAAAATTTTTTTAAGTCATTTCTGTCTGAGAAGATAATGGCTTTCCTTAGCCCCACCTGGTTGTCTTTTGTCATTTACTTTAGGGGATGGGGTTAAGCTGTTGTTCTCTGTGAAATCTAAACAAGTTGGATGGAAAAGTACAATTGCAAGCTGAGTCCCATCTTGCCTTCCCTGCTAGGTTGAATTTCAGTGCAGGAGCCAGTGAACCTCAGCCTCGACACATGCGTGTCAGCTTGCAGCCTCAAGGGATGCCTCCCACACCAGAGATGCTCCACCAATGTGGTTGTGCCATCAAAAACAAAAAAAAAAAAATTGTCAGTCTTGAGCTTGAACTCAGGGCCTGGGCACTGTCCTTAAGCTTCTTTTGCTCAAGGCTAGCACTCTACCACTTCAGCCATAGCACTTTTTTCTATTATGTGGTAATGAGGAATCAAACCAGGCTTCATGCATGCTAGGCAAGCATTCTATCACTAAGCTACATTTCTAACTCCTCAGAAATTCTTGAGCAGCTTTCTATTTGTCCACCAATCTTTCTGGCCTTCTTTTAATTAAAAAAAAAAAAAAAAAGAACCCAAGGCTTCCCAATTGCTAGGCAATTGCTCTACCTCTTGAGTCACGCCTCCGTTCCCATTTTGCATTGGTTATTTTCAAGGTAAAGCCTTTCAAGGCTTTATGCACAGTCCAGCTTGAGCCGCTACTGTCCTTTTGGGCTCAACACTTCTCTGGAAGATTGAGAACTGAGGAAAGTGGTATACATACTATTTCAGATTCATTCTAAAGGTACAACTCAGAAAGAGACACACAGGAAGGGCCAGGCTTACAGGTGAGTGCCCATTGGCGCCTGTCATCCTCCTGGCACAGCAGTGTGTTCACCAATAGTGTAGTAGGAGGACCCCTACTCAGGCAGGCAAGCCCACCTAGTCATCCAGAGTGTCAGAGCCCACCGCAACAAAGTTGTTAACAAAGAAGCAACTTTATTGAGAAGGTTCCTACACTGATGGGCCAGGGTCATAGCACAGGCTCAGGAGCTGATACTGGGACCCCGAGGCAGCCCACATACTTTGGTTTTTAAAGGCAAAATCCATGAGCTCAAGCCTGGTCACACGCAGGTGACCAATGGGATCGTTAACACACACAAAGGATTGTACAGTCATACCAGACCACACACAGGTGGCCAATGAGGTTACAGTTTGTAATGGCTGTTTAAACCAGCCTATCACCTTGGTTTAAAATGGCTCACAAGTTTAGTGGGTAAGGCGAGGTCTACCTTTTGGTGGGCAAAAGGTGGAGTTTACTGTAAACATGTGCAAAAGGCAGAGTTTACTGTAAGCAAGTGGTGTCGCCTGTTTGAGCCAGATTACAACCTGTTTTATGGGTCAGTCTTTAACTCAGCAATCAAGGATGGGTTAGGTTGTTAAGGGGAGGAGTACCAGGTGCCTTTTTTTTTTTCATTCCAGGAAGTAGGCCCATCAAGTCGAAAATCCCTAAAACAAAGGCAAAGCTCAAAATGGAATCATACCAGCATGGGCCCCATCTCAGGGTCCACTTCAATAGGAAAATGGAATTCGTGTAAATAGATAATAACTACTTTCCAGCTGCTTTATCCTCCCCACCCCCCAGAGTTTACAACTCTGACAGTTCCCACAGGCAGTCACCTGTTCTCATTAACATACCAAAGTACATTCCAGAGCTTTAAGATTTCTATAGGAAGAACTAGAGCTGAAACCAAAGATTTTTTTTTTTTGGGGGGGGGGGGGTCTGGTTGTGGGACCTGAACTCTGGGTCTGGGCACTGTCCCTCAGCTCTTCAGCTCAAGTGGTAGAGTGCTAGCGCCACTTCCAGCTTTTCTTTTTGCTTATGTGGTGCTGGGGAATCGAACCCAGGGCCTCATGCATTCAAGGCAAGCGCTCTACCACTGACCACCTTCCCAGCCCCGAAACCAAAGATTTTTGGTTTACCATACCTGTCTTAGAAATGTCCTTAATGCACCTGTAATCCTAGCTACTCAGGAGGCTGAGATCTGAGGATCACAATTCAAAGCCAGCCCCAGCAGGAAAAGTCCATGAGACTCTTATCTCCAATAAACCACTTAGAAAATCAGAAGTGGCGCTGTGGCTCAAGTGGTAGAGCACTCGCCTTGAGCTGAAGAGAGCAGAAACAGCGCCCGAGCCCAGAGTTCAAGCCCCACCACCAACAAAAAAAAAAATGTCCTTAATGCAACATAAATTTCATTAAGCATCAGCCTAATTGTCTAGGCTAAAGGAATTACTATCAGCAAAAATCTTGAAAGACAAGAGAGAACATTGAACATAATACAAAAACTTTTCCTAACCCTCAGGTATACCTATTTTTTTCTTTTTTCCTTTTTTTTTTTTTTTTTTTTAGTAGTACTGAAGCTTGAACTAAGGACCTTAGACTTGTTGGCAGACACTCCACCCACCTCCAGCCCTTAAATCTCTTAAAAATTGTATTCATTTATTAAACTTGAATAGAGTTTGCTACCTATATGCTAGGCAGCACTAAAACCAGCATATACATAAGTCATTAGTTACACATTAATATCGTTAATTTTAATTACATAGATAGTAAGTAGCAACCCTAATTTGTAGATGTGGGAGCTGAAGCATGGAGAGGTTAAATAACTGTCTATGGTCACACAGCTCGTCAGTGGTATTTGGGCTCCACAGATCATGATTTGAACCTTTTTTTTTTTCTATGTTACCTTTTTTGGAAAACTTGGTAAGCCCTCTCACCCTCTTCCCCATCATATTTAATAATATGAGCCATTTTTTGTTAAAGT